ATTATCCCTGCCTCAGAAGTTAAAATAGGAGATCCAAATTACAAACTAAACAATTTAGCAGCTCCAGTTCTCTGCAACAGCATACCACTTATTACACTACAATCTAGCCCAAGCCTCCATTCCAGCTAGTGAATTAAAAGCATTAAAAGCTGCAGTGATTGCCATTAAATCTTTACAATTTTGCCATTTCAAGCAACAAATGTACTCTAGCATTCACAGTATTCCTCCAAATTCTCACTGGGAATACTGTGCCATCATGGTAAATATTAATTATTTGCAAATGGCAGTGGAAAGATTTCAGTGGTGACCACTATACAGGCATGGCAGTGGGTATGTCACTGCTAATGTAGAATGGGCTGAAGGAGCCAGTTTAGATAAAGTACAAACTAGTTTTGAAAGTTTAGATTTTTAAATTTTTGTTTAATATACGGCTAATGTATGTGTTCTTTACAACTTCACAGGCCCTGCACATTCTGGTTTCAACATGACCTAGCACAAAACATGGAGACTCTTGTGAGATTTCAAACTCCATCTTGTAATATTTTTGTACAGATTTCTACCCCAAAGAGGATTAGACAAATTCAGGTAAACTTCACCTTGGAACCTTCTGAAGTTGCCTACAAACAAACATCTTCACTCAATAAGGTTACAGGTCTTATTTATAATTCACAAAGCCTTCATTGTTAACTTATACCATTGTGTGTCTATTACAGTATACTTATTTATTGTTAGGAGGAGGAAGATCACAAACTGTTTGGAGTATATAGTATTTAAATCCTTCAACAGAAGTGCATGAGTACCTATGAACAATTATTCACTTGATAGACCACTACCAGTCCATCAAGTGAATAGTGTACATAAGGTCTGTTTGAGTCATTGTTAGATTTTTATTAACGTGTACTATTTAGCGCTAAAGGAAATGTATTTGTCTTATCTTAGTTGCACACATTCATGTACTTTTATTTATACAGAACAGTGAATTTTTAACCTATTACAAGAGTTTCTAGTAGTTTAAAACCATTAACAATAAAGTAAAATGTGAAATGCAAGATTTTCAAATGTCTACCTGATTTTCTAATTAAAAAAAAACAAAACAAAAAAAAACCCCTATAGACTGTCAAACTGAACAAAAAAACCCACATAGAAGCCAGAGATTAAAAGGAGCACAAAAAACCACTTTTTTCAGTTGTAGAGAGATTTACAGGCTTCAAAGTGATCAGATTTTTCTTTAGCTGCTCCTGGACCAAGACCATGGAAGCTAAATTTCAGTTCAGAGTAAATTTTTAATGACAGAACTATAAATCTAAAAAGTAGTTGTTCACAATGGTTACAGTGAAAACTGTTTTACTGTGATGGTGCCATTTTAATCTTATAGAAAAAGATACAAAGACACAAACAGTGTGGCCACATGACACTTTTTCCTTGCTACTGGAGATAACAAGCTGGTAATTTTTAAAGGATGGATTATCTCATTAAAAAAGTACAAAGGGAAATTATTGACATTTAGAATCCACACACAAAAAAGCAATATTTATAGGTGATAGGGCCTTAATTAAAATTTTAGAGTAATTTTTTCACTTACTTTCTCACCCTTCCCTCAAAAATAAAAAAACAAAACACTGCCTTAGGGGTCACCAATGCTGTTTCTATGAATCTGCACTTTTAAAGTTCATATTTTGTTAACCTTCCAGAGAACTGTAGTCTACTGGGATACTTCCAGATTTAAGATAATGTAATTATTGTGTTTCCTTTTTAAAAAAAGGCAAGTATCTGGTGCCCTGAGTGTCAGATATATAAACGTCTCTTGTCAGGGTCCTGTGATTGAAACGAATACAATATCATTGAAGCATTACAAATTACTGATCCATAAACGTAGCAAAGTAATTTTTTTTTTAAACCAAGCTAACTGGAATGGGTATATTTAAGTGAAATGGACTCAACTCCCGTCAGTTAAATCTGTATCCATCACAACTACCGTGGTAATTTGGGCATCAAATTCAATGGACTATGTTATGCAATGTGGCTTTTTACACAAATAAACTTGCTTTCAGGCACATCCAATGTCAAGTATGTAAATAAATGATGATACACCATACACATCATCTAGTCCTGTGTATTTCTCTGCTCTTAATTTTTAACATGGTAACTGCAAACTTTGTCTTATGACTAAGTACATTACTTAAAAGTTTTACACTCTTGTTATTATCAGGATTCTCTAACAGTCAAGGATCAATCTGCTAGTTCAGTTTATTGGGGGATTATGAAGACACTATAGCCTTCCCTATTTCACCTGCTAATTATATGCAGAATCTTCTTCCCAGCATAGCTCAAAACTTAACAGTTCTGCATTACAGGTTTGTTGGAGATGGCCTCCATAGGTCATGACTTAAGTAGTTTCCTTCACACAAGGAGTAATTTCAGGGGCTTGCCAGGTTGGTGGGCATTTTGGCTGTCATACTTATCTCTGGATTAGTCATCTTCTTTCTTTAGATCCCCAACATGAGTCATAGAAACCATTACCTGAAACAGTATTTCTGAGAAAGTTGTCCAAAGGGACTATACTGATTAGCTAATTCAGTGATGCCATTCCTGGTGATACCTCCGTCAGCTAACTGAAATTCATTTCTAGGAATTCTAACACCAAGACCCCATTGGCTCAAATGAGCCTCCTTCAAATTTCTTGTTACCAAGGGGCACTAAATATTGCACTATATACTGAAGTGGTTTACCATCATGAACATGTATTATCCGTATATGTTTTCTAGCTTCCTTCACCCATCACTGTTTTTTTGGTTCAGCGGCTGAATCAAAAAATATGTTTCGATTGGAATGAAAACTGAAAAAACAAACAAACAAAAAACAGTTTCTCACCAAAACAAAAAAGCAAACAATTTTGCTTGGGTTGATTTTAAACAACACTTCCAAAACAAAACAGTGATTTGAAATGACATTTTGTTTAGAAAATATCATTTTGAAACAAAATCTTGAAACACTAAATTTTGAAAATGCTGGGAAAAACATCTGTTTTTTTTTTCTTCATCTGAAACAATTTGCCAAATTGAATCAGAATTCGCAAAACATTTTGGTGCCCCGAAAAAATGAATTTTTCAGTGAATTTACAATTTGCTGTAAAAATTTTGCCCAGCTCTGTGTACAACAATATTGCTCCCCCACAGAGGAAGAGACAAAGAGGCACCACCAGCAATCTCCTTTTCATCTCAACAGCCAGATAGGTGAGCAGGAGGAAAAAATCGCAACCTGGTATCAGTGGATCACAGATAACCACAAAATAAACATAGTGCGCTATCTTGATGTGCTGCAGTACATTGGTTGTGATAGTCTCTCAGTGTGTAATTATTCTGATCATAGCCACACATCATCCAATATTGATGAATTCTAAAAATGCATACATTGAAATGTGATTATTCTGCGGCTTTCTGGTACTTCCAATAGTTGACAAAGACAGAGTCCTCCTGCTCTTTGAGTTTAAATGCTACTGATCTATACGGAGAGCGAGCTTGCCCTCAGAACACAGAAGGCTAGATTCACAAAGGGATTTAGCTGCCCAACTGTCACTTTAGTCACCTAAATCCCAGAATCAGGCACCACTGATATTCAGAAAACCTCTGCTTTGCTGCCACTGAATGCTAGAGGCACCTAAACTCACTCAGTGCCAATGTTTTTCTAGGAAAAGTTCTAAGCCTGTTTACCAGGTTGGGCCCCAGAGGGGCGCTCACCCAAAATGGCCGGGGAGAAGGGAGGCAGAAGAATCTGCCTCATAATTTTTAGTCCACTGGTCAGGGTAGTCACCTGGACATGGGAGACCCCTGGATCAAGTCCCCCCTTTGTCTCAGGGTGAGAAAAGATTTGAACAGGAATCTGCCACCCCTCAGGGGAGTGTCCTAACCACCGGGCTAAGGGATATTCTGATGTGGGGCTCCCTCAGTCTCTTCTTTTGAAGCTGTTCCACTTTGGATGAATAATTAAAGAGTCTTTGGGGCAGAGAGGGGTTGGGGGAGAGAGAGAGTGCAAGCATGAGAAGGACTCTGTAGACTGGTGGTTAGAGCACTCACCCAGGACGTGGGAGACCTAGGAACACCCTCTCCCAGGCTTCCTTCAAGAAACACCTTAGATGCTTGATTTTAGGAGAGTGTTCACAACTGAGAATCCCAAGCAGAGATAGGTGCCTCCCTCCAGCCCGGACTCAGGCACCAAATTCTCTGAGACACCCCTCTCCTTGGCATCTCTCATTGGCTAGCTTAGGCTGCTCTTCACTCAGTGTGCTGGCTTTTCTGAATTCCATTCTTAGGCACCTATCTCCCTCCATTCATTGTACCTCAGCCTTTGTGAGTCCCAGCAATTTTCGAGGTGCCTAAAAGTAAGGTGTTGTGATGCTGCGTGTCATAATGCTTAGAGTCCCTTTGTGTATCTAGCCCAGAGTCTATGGAGAAGAATTAAGATTTTTAAGTACATTTGGAAATTTCTCATCTGTCAACTTTCTGTCTCAAATTGAATATAAATACAGGTCAGAAGTTTCTGTATGAGTCTGTTTGCTAAGTACAGATGTTTCCCAAGGTGTGCCATTACATACAGTGGAATTCACTCCATCAAGTTCATTTTGATTTATCTTGGTCTTTTAATAGTAACAGTCAAGAAGTACCTATCTTTTGGTTTAAATGATGAGGGTGGGGAATCAAACAGTGTTCATCTTATTACTTCACCAAATTCAAATTTGCATTCTGTCTCCCAGCTCCTCCACCTATGTACATTTGTGAATGGAAGGAAAACTGGTGATTATCACAAAAAGGCTATCAGGAAGTGAAATTTGCATTTAGTTCTTAATCTTCACTGAAAAGGAACATTTTATCGGTATTAAGAGAAAAAATAAATCCGAGGCACAAATATGAGCTTCAGCTGTAATAATTAGAAGGAAGAAGTCAGGAACTGGGGCTTGGCTAATTGAGAGGACCGATAATGGACTTTTGAAGAAAATACTGTACCTAATGGGACTGGATCTGGATTCACTGGACTCTGCTGTCTGGAATGGCTGCTGCTGCTACCACCTTTTTTTAAATCCTCTGCATCACTGTACCGCCGTATCCAATAATTAAGCTCTTCACGGTCCGCTTCTTGACATCGCCGTAGTACAGTGAGAGATCGCCTTGTTTTTTCCACCATGTCCATGATGCAGTTTAACAGCTATTAGTAGGGGCAGGGGGAAGGAAGGAGCCAAAAGAACATTTGATTATGATGTGCCATATCCCCACAGAAAACTTGGTGAATTTAAGTCATTTTCTTACTTCAGTTGGCAGGGTTTTAAGGGAGAAGGATTATCTCCCTGTTCTTTTAAATAAAAATAAGATACACTACCGGTACTTCCTTTTGAACACAATAATTCCCTCTTGCTTAACTGTATTTCCTAGATATACATACAAATCTTTCACTAGTTATAAGATCTAATTAACAGCAAAAACAAACAAAAATTCCATTTTCAGGGCACTGATAAAGTGAGGGAGTGGGACGCGTCCTGGAGCCAGTGGTCAATCCCATTGGCTGCTCATATCAGCAGTTTGGATTCTAAAACAGGTATTTGGACACAGAGTGCCAAAAGAAGCATCCAAACGGGGAACTAAGCACTATAATTTAGCCACCAATGTTTTCAAACTTGTTCTACAATATGGAAAATTAAAGAAAAATTAATAAACTAAAATACGTAATACAAGTTACAATATTGTAACAGTCATGCGGGGTCCATCCAGACACATATACACACACACTAATTAATTTTTTACATGGTCAAGGTGTTTCCATTCTTCTGCCCATTCTCTATCTGTTAGCCTGTGATCAATCATTTCTTCTTGTCGTGTGCCATGCAACCCTGCCAAAAGTGGAAAAGATATTTACATCAAAGGATTCATCTAGAAAAGCTCTCTTATTCTTTCATTATCTATCTATCGAGTCTTGGTATTTACAATGCTCATCCATAACATAAACCCGCACAATTTTTGTGTGAAGGTTTATGTATATAGACACATACTACATATACACATGTACCATTTAAAGTTTATCAGTCTTTTCAGTGATATTAAAGCAGAAATCTAAACAAAGGACTAGGAATCTTTAATGGTTATAGTATGCCCACTACCTGGGATAAACAAACATTTCCCTTCCATAATGAAAAACAACCAGTAAAAGCAGATACAGAACAAGAGACTTGTATAAAATATTTCACTGAATCAAATTCTGATGCTGCAAAGGTGGTACAAACACCTGTTGGCGATAATTCTCTGCACAGACCACTTCTAGGATTGGGCACCAAAAAAATCATGGGTACCTCAATAATGTTACAATAAATGTAGAAATTACTAATATCTTCTGGTGCAAAGGCAGCCCTGTAGAGATTGCTTCGTCATATGCATAATATCAAACAAGGTTACAATGCGAAAATCATTAGTACCTTTTGTTCTGCTCTTTGTTTAAATTACTTTATTTTCACACATTTTAAAACGTATAATTTGCTGTTGATTTTTCTTCTTTTTTATGTAGGCTAGGGTTTGGATCAGTGTATTAAAATTTAAAAATTAGTCTCAACATGAAAGACATAGGGAAGGATGGGAGTTTTATGTCAGATAGTGAGCAACTGATCTAAGTTCTAAAATTAAGAAATTTTCATGCTGGTAAAGTAGATTAAAATCAAAAACTTAAACTGTAAAATGTATTAACAGAATAAATCTTTGTTGATACTAGACTTAATATTATTGAGAAGCAACAGGAAATAAACTGATGCTTAGAAGATTTGGTCCAAGTTCTCAATAGGTTTGAGTATTACCAGATTGTTTAAGTTAAAAAAAACCTCTGATCTTTGGATTAGTAGAAAAGAAAAAACTCAAAAATTGACGTAACAATTGTATCATTTACTATAGGAAATTCCCAAGCCACTTATACTGCAAAAAAAAAGTTAAATGGTTAAATATTGCCTTTTTATATCATACTTCCTTAACACAGAGGACTGAAAAAATATAAATAGTATGCACAGACCAATGTAAGATCACTAAATGCAATGATTACTATAATGTCAATACCGATTCATTAAAGGTTCATCTCTTCACAAATACTTAAATAACCATAGAAAATTCTAAGTAAAGATTTACTGTGCATAAAGAGCAAGTTCCAAGTATGCAGTGAGTTGACAATAAATGCTACCTTATCTGGTCTTAATAGGCCCCAATGTATTGCCCACAGTTCGAATTCATACATTTTAGCCAAAGGGACAACTTAGACTAACTTGAGAGATCTTTCACTCGAAGTTTTAAGCCTCAGCCCCTCACCCTTAAGGTCTCTGTAAATGCTGCTTCTTTATTCTTTTAAACAAATCCTGAATAAAAAGCACTTCTGTAAACGTTTTGCTTTAGAGTGGGGCATGCAAATTAAAGCACAACAAAATCATTGTGACCTGAAGAGTGCTTTAGGCATAGCCCTGAGCAGGGTGTGGTGTGAGAGCTACACCACAGGTAGGGATGGTCCCACGGGGCATTGTGCCTCAGAGACATCATTCTGGAGGCAATTCCTTCTATTACTCCCTTACTCGTGGGATAGTAATTTATCTCTGGCCTATATCAGCAGTAAATTAAGACACCCCATCTAGCTATGTTGGTTGTCATATGTGTGGGATACAGGGAAAGACAAGACTCCATTCCCCTGCCCATCTGTTCCAGAGTCCATGTTGTCCACACAGGTGTGAAAGACGTGCTTCTTACTCATCCTTACGCTCCTGTGTGAGTGTGTAATTAAAGACACAATCTAGTCCAATATTAGTAAAGCTATTATAAACATTAACTACATTAGGATCATAGATCTATCAGCAGAGGGCAATGTGAGATAGAGGGCAATACAGTTCTCAACCAGAATGAAGTACAGAGTTTAATTATAAGAAAGAAAGAAAGAAAGAAAGAAAGAAAGAAAGAAAGAAAGAAAGAAAGAAAAATCCAGGAAGCACAAAGTTTCTCATTGTCCCTTACCCATAGGTCTGTTTCTGTCCCTGAGGTCCCTGTGGTTGGGGTGTCTGTATGAGTCCCTGTAGTGGTGGGCAATGGCCATATCATCCAAACGATAATGCTGAGGTGGAGGTGGGGTGGGGTGAGGCAGACCATTGGGCTGGTAAGATAAGCCATTATTTGGACTGTACCGCTGGCCTGGGCTAATAGTGCAGGGCCGCTTGCTTGGATGCTCTGAGTGCAAAGGCTCTCTGTCAAAGCCGTTTTCTTTGGTTCTGAAAAATAAAGTACAGGAACTTTCCGTCACAATTTGAACAGGGCTGGCTATTGCTCAGATACGCACAGTTAAGAACTGCCATTTGTGCTCCATGACGTTGGGGGTGTGGGTGGGGGAACATTTCATAAAGCAGTTTAATCAATCAAAATTTATAAGGATACATGTGCTCACTATAAACATCTCTGTCATAGCCTAAGAAACACTGGTAGAATAATACTCCCTATAGAACATAAAAATACTCCCTATAAACATAAAAATTAAAGCAATATTCACTGAGATTAAGCTTTGAACATGTGGGTACAGTACAGACTGCAATGTATTCATGTGTTAAGCAAGTGGCCAAGCAATTTTCATTTTTAATAAAAGCAAAAGAAATCACCATTCTTAGTCAAGTCCAGTTTGATGGAAAAAAGACCGTACACTGGTGGAGATGTTCTGCCTCCGTCGCTGCATGCAGAGATCTGGGGAAATCTGCAGCTTAAGAAATGTTTTCCTCCAAAGGGCAGCACATGGCCCTTAGGCTATATGTCTTAGCATGCTGAACCTTTGCTCTCAGTAATGCCAGGCTGATTCCCCATCTGGGAATTAAACAATATGATCACAGCAGGTTTCAAAGACACATTTGGAGTGTGAGGAAAGAATCATTCTTGGTGATGAGAGATGTTTTCCTCGAGAGAGGAGAGAAAAGGAGAGGTTACTTACCTTGTGCAGTAACTGTAGTTCTGTGAGATGTGTGGCTCTATCGGTGTTACTGTTCAGATCTGCATTTGCCCCATGTATCTTCAATTGGAGATTTTAGGTAACTGTTCCCATTTGGCCAGTGCATGTGCTCTAGTCCACCTCATGCACTGCACTTGGCTATATAGAGCAGCATAGGTGAGCCACCCTCAGTTTCTTCTCTACTGCAAAGCTCCATAGCCAAGAACTCCGAAGCAGCGGGGAAGGAGGGTGGCTAGTGGAGCACCCACAGGGACACACATCTCAAGAACTACAGTTACTGCACAAGGCGAGTAACCTCTCCTTTTTCTTTGAGTATTGCCCTTATAGGTACTCCACTTCAGGTGACTACTAAGCAATACCCTCCAAGAAGGTAGAGGCTTCGGAGTCAAGTCCAAAACTGAAGATAGTACAGTAGAACCAAGCACAGCATCAGAAGCTGAGTCATGAATTACTGCATAATGTTCAGAAAAGATGAGTATGGAGGTCCAAGTTCCAGGTCTACATATTTCAGCAATGGGAACATTCTTAAGAAAGACTACTGAAGTAGAAAAAGATCACATTGAATGGGCCACTACTCTAGAAGGAGGCTGGAGATCAGGCTACTGATAAAAGGTAATGCAGCCAGATATCCATCTATCACAATAGGGGTGCATCTGTTATTACTACTGTTGGAGATGGTTGAGCGAAGAGGATTCCTGTGCAAATGCTGCCTGGAATTAGTCCCTCTGCTCTGGCGGTAGATGCTCAATAAACGAACTGAACTTTTAGTCATTGGTGTGATTATATGTAGCATCAACACCTGATAGTTGATGATTATAAACTGCAGAGTCACTTCCTTGTCATCTTGGCCCCCTGATGGTACCAAAGATCTTCCTGAGCTGGAACCCTTAGATTCTTTGGGTTCACTGGTGCTCACAGTACCTGAAGAACCTGCAGCCTCGTGGATACCGAGTCAGGAATTGGTGGGCACTTAAATAGTTGTCTCAATCAGCCACCAGGGTTTCTTTGAGGTAGAGTCCCTACCTGGGAAACCCGAGCTCTGTTTCCTAGAGTCTTTTTGAGGGGATTCTTGAGTTTTCTTTTTAGTAGCTCTAGAGAAGTGTTGTGCTGAAGTGGTTGAGATGGTCAACTTGCTCGGAGACTGATGTATGGGGCTGGAGAGGACCTGGGCTGGGTCAGAAGGTGGATGGAGGGAGCCCTCCATCATAAGGAAGCACAATTTAACCTCCTGGTTCTTTCTGGCTCTTGATTTTAAGGCCAGGCAAAAAATTCATTTTGTGGGGGGAATGTGTGACTCCTCAAGCAATGGACACACTGGGAGTGTCAATTGTTCACCAGGAGAGCCTTCTGGCACAAAAGGCAACGTTTAAAACTAGGAGAGCCAGCATACCCTCCCCACAAGCTAAAGTTCTCCGCAGGGAAAAACTAAAAGGATGATGGATCTTACAACATTTTTTTTAAAACTACAGCTAACTACTACTGCTATAACTAACTAAACTAAGTGAAACTACGAAAGAAACTGCAGTTGAGGTAAGATCAACTCAGACACTGCTGAGGCTCTGTCTCATGCCAAGGCACTTGAGAAAGAACTGAGGGCGGTTTACCCATGCAGCACTATATAGCCATGGTGCAGTACACAAGGCAGAGTAGAGCACATGAGCAGGCCAGAAAGGCACTGCTACCTAAACTCTCTGATCAAACATGCATGGGGTATACACGCGTCTGAAGTACAGCGCCCATAGGGACACTACTCAAAGAAGAAGCTATATTTTTGTGCCCTCACAACAGCTTTGATCAAAAATCCTGCGCATGCTGTTGATCTAAAGAGAACATTGGTTAGGTCACAGTCTTAGGGCAGCCTTCAACTGTTCCCACTCCATTCCTCGTAACAGATGGCGCTTTCATAGTGAGGTCATTTAGAAGAGTTAGTGTTGGGCCAGAAAATTAACCATAAAGAAACAAAATGAATTTGAGTCTATAATCAAATATTTCAAAATAAAGTGCACACAGTCCACCTGCAACCACACCATCAGCTAATATATATGAACCTAACAGTGAATGCCTGTTTATATCCTCAGGAAAAAACAGAGGTAAGTCGCTTCCATTCTGCCCAGAGACCATACTACAAATGAAGAATGACTTTCTAGCTCTATTACAGCCCAAGCTTATCCGAATAACAACTGTCTCAACTCCTCTTGTACTGGAGCTCCACTTCACTCCAGTTCTCAAACTGTGGGGCGCGTGCACCAGGGGAGGTGACATTGACACTTTTTCCCCCCTGGTGGCTCAGGGTTTCTGGCTGAGCTATAGATGATGCTGCAACTGATGCTAGATGTCACTGTTGGTCGCCTCAGCTGCTAGGACCGGAATACAGTTTTGGCTGCCTGTAACAAAGGCTGCTGCAGGGTTTGATGGCTCCTGCACCCTGCCTATGCAGAGCAGGAATCTAGCAGGGAGGTGGCTCAGTGGCAGCCGCTGCCTCCGCCTTTTATTCTCCTGAACTGGGGAAGGGGAGACACACGGAGGTCAGATAAGTGAGGGGGTGAAGGACAGGGACCCAGGAGAATGTGCACCCTTTCTCTCCAGACAGCTATACTCTCTCCCATGCACTGCTTTATGGGGCAGGACTAGGGCAGGGTCTCAGGCAGGCAAGAACAGCCTGCTGGAGAGGAAGCTGAGCAGGAGACAAGGACGGCATCCTGGGGCAGGATTGAGAGCAGCGCAGCAGATTGAGCCCATTGCAGTGAAGAGGTGGGGCAGGTATCAGGGCCCACTGGAGGAGGGATAAGGGGAATCTCTATTTCAAGTGCTGTGGCAGTTAGCAACAGGAAATGAAGAGATGGGTTTTGCTAAAGCTTGTTGCTGGGAATAAAGATAGGCTTTCCAGAGACTCCATACACAAGCACCAGTGCCCACTGCAATTGCAGGGGTGAACGGAGGCCCCCCATCACCCCTCTCATAGCGAAAGGGAGAGGATCTTTGCCAGGCACTTTAGGGCATCTGTTACAATGAGTATTTTTGAGCAAGGAAGTAAACGGTTAAAATGACTGTACACTATGTTCTAGAAAGACAAATGATAAGAAGTGGGATGGGACTGAGATGTGACCCCCATGAGTGCCAAGGTAACTATACATTTAATTGCTGTCAATGTAATTCATGCTGTTAAACTCCAATGGATAGCAACACTTTTTGACTGTTCTCCAAGAATGCACCTACATATTTTACATTTGGCTGCATGCAGAACCTCAGACCCGCAACTACTCAAATCCAACTATGAAATTTTAATTTGCAAGTACACATTTGCGTGAAAGTATGCAGATTTTTGTATGCACAAATCAAACTATGGATGCATTTTTGAAGGCACACTCAAAATTTGTTCTTGAATATCAAGGTTAGAATGATAACCTCTAACAAAGATTAAAAAGTCAAATACTGTAGATGTCCTGTTTTTTTTCTACAGCTGCCCGTATGTATGTCTCAGTGTACAGAATCCTCCCCCTCTCCCCCCACCCAAGATCTGAGGGCAAGGAGGAGAGAGGCCAGTTTCAGAGAATGAGGTTTTTGTAACTGTAGATGTTCATGCTGAAGGATTTTTTACATTTGGACTCCTTTTTTATTGAGATTAAGGGCTGTCCAGTTACAACTGGGATTGACTGTTACTTCTCATCAAGAATTGCTGAAGGCACACAATCAAATATACAGTAAGAATCTTTAGTTTCAAATGACTGTGCATTCCAGAGCAGGAAATCAAACAGCAAACGACTGCCCTGGCTGGCAAATTAACTTTACCATTTGATACAAAATATTAAATGCAATTTATGAGAATAACATTATTGAGGCCAGTGAATAGGAGTTGGGATGGAGAATGTTCGTCCTTCATTTCTGCAAGATGCTTTGGTTTAAACTAATATTTATATGTAAAAGATTGATGACTGAATGAGTGATAATAATCTACTGGAAAAAAATCTCTTTCGTGCCTATATCTATCAAATTATTTTGCAGATAAGATAATGTTGTATGCACAGCACAGATCAACATATAAACATCATGTGTATAGTTACTTGTCACACAGAACCATCATACTAAGGAAGTGCTTCATGTCACAACTCAGGCGATTAACTTAACTGAAGAACCTGTAAGATTTTGCTCAAAGAAGATTCCTAAACTTTTCACATTGGTTGCAAGGCTCGTGGTCCAATGAGGTGCTGAGCATCCTCCACTCCCATGAACTGAGATGGCAGAAATAGGCCCTCAATACCTGGCAGTGCCCAACCTAGA